AATTTGACATGTCTTGATGAAAAATGAATCTTGGCACTTGATTTTGACCAAAAAGTCAAAGTTTGACTTTTTAGTACACAGTCAAATTTTGCTCAGTTGACTCGAAAATTCATCTGTCAATCTTGTGCATTTGGGATCTTTTGAACTTGTTGAACATGTCAAGACAATGCCATTGGGTCCTTGAGTCCATATGTGAGCTTGAATTGCCATTGGTTAGGTCAAACAGTCAAAAATTGCCTTTGTGCAGTCAAAACCCTAAAAATGACCATTTTGCCCCTTTGGTGATCTGATCAAATTTCTTATGGAATTTGTGAGCCAAATTTGATCAAATGGTCCAAATGAGTTCATAATGTTGATGTGGGTCAAAAATCATGAGGTTTGACTGTCAATTGGCCACAGTTGACTTTTTCCCTAATACAATTGATTTCTAGGTCAACTGTCCAATTGACTGGGCAAAGATTGGAATCAAGGCTTGAAACTTGGTATGGATAAACTTGTGAGTCCAACATGAAGCATGAAAGTCACATTGGGCCTTTTAGGTCAAAATATCTTTGTGCAAACTCAAACCCTAATTTGGGTCAACAGTGTAACGAGGAGTCTTGAGCAGAGCAAACCCTAACTTGATCTTGATCTCCAAGGGTCTTGTGGTGAGAAAATATTGATGAAATGGGAGGGAAAATTTTGGGGTACAACACCGCGCATTTAGTCAAAATCTCTGCAATCACCACTCCCGACCAAAATGCGAGGTGATTCAAAATATATTTGCAAACCCCTAAAAAATACCAACCTCGTACGAACTACGAATTGGAACTCTAATTCCTCATAAGAGGATACATAGGTGTTGTACCCCAAAATTTACCCTCTTTATTTCAACCTTTTTGGCTTACATTTCATTATTATATACATGCATATCATTGGTTTTATAGTTATGTAATCAAGGTATATTTAGCAAGCTTCGTCAGGTTACAAGTGATGTTTATTTCGCTAATGGATGTTCTCAGAGTATTTCCCATGCCTAAGATCGGTTCGCCGTTTCGTAACGATTCAGGGTTCAAAGATTCACAAGTCCAACCCGATGCGTCATATTCAGGTGTTCTTTCGCCAAGATATCCCTGATAACATATTCTCAAATTCAGGATCGGCTCGAGAGCCAATTCTTTAAAGAAGGTCTCTGAATGTGCGATTTTTTCTCGAAGAAATATGGTAAAAAGTGTGCTGATAGTGCAGTTTTTACGCACTAAAAAATTCATAACTTGAAGATCGTGGCTCGTTTTGAACCTGTTCTGGTGGCAAAAATTACGTCTTGACGTCATCTGAGTTTTCATCTCTCACGTATGGAAGCCAATTTCGATTAGAAGGTCTTCAAAAATGCGGATTTATCAAGTATTTTCGTACAAAAAAATTATGACAAAAGTTTATTTGCGTCATGTTCAGAAAATCATAACTTGGTCGATTTTCACCGTATTGAGCTGGTTCCGACGCCAAAGTTTTACAAATTGAGTTGGCTACATTTTCACAGGAGGTATCGAGTTTGAATGGTATCCAAAAGGCCTTCATTTTTTGCCCAGAGTGGGCCTGACGTGCCGAAAATCCTGAATGCTGAATATTATTTCATCTGGGTCGAAACTTCGAAAATTTATAACTCGGTCAATTTTTATCGGATCGGGCCCATCTTTTTACACAAAGTCACTAACTCAGAGATCTACAAATTTTCTTCCAAAGTCGAGACCGAGTTCTGCTCCGATCAATACCAGTTTTTTATTGAAGAACGTGTCAGAGTTGACACTGGAGCCCAAAACAAGTTTGTCTGAGGTGAAACTTCAAAAATTCATAACTAATTCACCGTTTATCTGATTGAGCCTATTTTTGTACAGGAGTTTATTCTCGATGTAAGCTACATTTTGTTTTCACATTTCAACTTCAAAAATTAAACTTAAGTCCCTGCAATTTAGCCTGGAATATGACAGACTCAAGTAAATAAAAATCTGCACTATTGCTTGTGGTTATTGTAGACCCAATTGCACATTCAAAGCTCGTATCTTTACTCTAATTTCCATTATATAATCTCATTCTTTTTACACAGACGACAGAAAAAAACATTTGCCACAACCCTATCAAAATATCAAATTCTTTCAAGAATCCTAAAAATCTTGAAATCCTTGTTACAAACTCATATCTCACTACAAACAAGCTAATCCTTGTTACAAACCCCTACCTAACTACTTCTCCGGTAAGAGTGAGGCTGGTTTGATCTCCATGATCAAAAAGGTGTAGAAACATTCATACATACCATATCGGTTTTAATATTACAAAATTTTATTTATTTATTTTATTTGTATTTCATGGTATACTAATTTGTTTAATGTGTTCGTGAGATTCAACATTACAGGTTTGACCATTATGGTCCCATCAGGTTTATTACAAAACACAGAGGCCGGATCATAACAACCACCAATTGTATGGCAAGGCAGACATCCTGAGGAGGTTAAGGGCGTGAGTTCAACACCCACCCCTATTGGTTTTGGTTTTCTTCCATTATATTTATCCTTTTACTTATTTTCATTCTTTCTGTTTAAAACATTTTTTCATAAAACTTCACATTTTTCACAAACCTTTGATTTTTCATAATAAACTCGAATAATTAATTTTAGGTTTTTTAAATTTTAACTTTAGGTTTTAAATTAATTTTTGGTTCAACACCCACCCCTGACATTTGCATTATTTGTATTTTCTAATCCTATTTTTCATTGATACTTCTTCCTCTATCTATTTTTTGGCAAACTTAATCCCTTTTTATTAATCATTACACATAAGTTTTTTTAAACCCTTTTTTTAATTAAAATTTATTAAATTTTAGGTTTTTTTTAATTAACCTTTTTTTTCTTCAAAATTAACCTTTTTTTATTAATTAAAATTAATTAAGTTTTAGGTATTTTAATTAATTTTTTCAAAATTAATATTTTTTATTAATTAAAATTAATTAGGTTTTTTTATGTTCATTTAATTAATTATCATAAATTATTTTTTTCATAAAAAACACCAAAACATTTTCTTTGCTATTTTCATCTTATTTCTATTTTCCTAGATAAAGTGTATAGGACGCGTTCAACTGTAATATCGTAACTTTATTTGTCCGCCTCCTTCGCGCTTCGATGAAAATCTCAGACGCGACAAACTCTTTCTTATTATTTCGAGCATCACCCACCACCTCTTTAGCTATCAGAATGCCGTCTAAAATTTGTTTTCCTGAGATAAAAGCAGATTGAGTATCCGAGATCGGCCCACCAATTACCTTTCTCAATCTGTTAGCCATAATTTTTGCCAATACTTTGTACAAACTCACAACCAACGAAATGGGACAAAAATCCCCAATCCGCTTAGGACTGTCAATTTTAAGTATCGTAGTAATGACGTACTATTAATACCTCCTGCTAGCTTTCCATTACGGTGAAACTTCATAAAAAATCTCAACAAATCATCTTTCAACAACTCCCAGAATTCTTTTATAAACCCAAAACTCACACCATTTGGACCTGGACTCTTGTAACTATCACAATCCCACACCGCCTGTTTCACTTCTTCCATCGTAAACGACTTAATAAGATCAGCCCCATCCATACCACTAAGAGTTTTAAATGACAAATTATTAATCTCTGGACGATCACCTCCTACCACTTTAAAATGAGACTGAAAGTGCTGAAAAACTGCTTCTTTAATCGGGGCTACACCTTCAACAAGAGCATCATTCACCGATAAATAAGTGATCGTATTGGACCTACGTCTAGATGACATAAACCCATGATAAAATTTAGAATTCCCATCACCTACCCTCAACCAGTTCAACTTAGACTTCTGCCACTGCATATTAGAATTCAACTTGGATAAAGTAAACAAATCCGCTGAAAGGTTATGCAGTTCTGCCACCTCACCTTCCTATAAACTAAGATTTCCCCTTTCACATCTAAGGACTAATATTAATGATGTCTTGTATCCTTACAAAATTAAATGCTCCCAATAGCTTATTCGTTAGAGTTTAATGGACATGTATTGTCGGTGTAAATAAATTTTATACAATCATCCAATTGGAAATCATCAATATGTAAAATCATCAAAATTAATTTAAATTATCAATATGATGTGACGAGTTGCACGTCGTTCATTGAATGAGTGTAAAATAAAAAATAAATACTCAAGATAGCTTATTTATAATAAAATATTAAAAAGTAATTATAATTAAAATAAGATTGAACTTTTAAAATCGTTTCAATAGATATTAAATATTATGCATTGCCTGCCAATATAAAAAGTCTCGTCACTATAAAATGTTAAAAGGAAAAGGCAAACATGATTTAAAATAAGAGAATTAGTCATACCGTAAAAATATCTTTGTCAATTAAATTCATTTAAACATATTTATTAAATTTTTGAATTTTTAAATAAATAATGTTAATACAAAAAAATTAAAATTATTATTTATTGTTGCAAAAAAATTGATTAATATTTAAAGACTTTTTTTAAATGACCTTAGCGCTTGTTTGTTACAATTTTTTAAACAAAAATTTTAAATTTCCTTTTTTTTTTGTCACAAAACTTGAAGAGAATTAAAAAAAAAAAATCAAATGAGAAGTTTGTTAAAAAAACATCATATAAAAAAAATTAAAGGCTCCTTCCTTTTCGATGACTTACTCATAGTAAAACAAAAAAAAAAATAATAAAAAGATTTAATTTTGAAAGTTGTTTTAAGTATTAATGATGTATCCTAAATCCTAGTTAGCGTTAAATGTGAGTACAATCAAATCAAATTCAAATCTTTTTCCGCATTTTATATATACATGCAATCACTTTGGTTCTTTCCAAACAAACAACTTTCGTTCTTTGATTACACCATTATGTATGCTTCAGCATCCAACGAAAACCCTTGTTCCGCATCCATGTCGCACAACACCAAACCTTGTTCCTTAGCACCATCCAACACAAACCCTTGTTCATTAACAGCATCCATGTCCGAGAACACAAAACCTCGTAAAAGACTTATCGTCAAGCTCAGTTATCCTCCTGGTTCTAGAAAACGTGATTCAGATTCTTGTGGCACAGATGAAAACAAGAGAAGGAAGATTCAAGATTCTGTAAGACCAACCGTAACATGTTATTGGGTTGATTCTAATTATCGTACAAAAACAACACCTTTGTCTCAACCAAAGGACAATAACATTGCTGTTGAAAACAAGAACCAAGTTTCCAACACACTTATGTCTCAACCAAAGGATAGTAACATTATTGTTGAAAACAAGGAGATGATCGAGAACCAAGTTTCCAACACAGTTATGTCTCAACCAAAGGATAGTAACATTGCTGTTGAAAACAAGAAGATGATCAAGAACCAAGTTACCAACACAGTTATGTCTCAACCAAAGGCTGTTGAAAACAAGAAGATGATCAAGAACCAATTTTCAAAAACAGAAATAGATTTTAATGGTCAGAAGGAAAGTTCAAGACTTTGTACGAAAACGGCCTCAGTCACAAGACCTGAAGAATGTACCTTGAAGAAACCAATGGATTGTATTAAGAGGAGGGAATGTTGGTTGATTTTGAAGAGGATGTTGGTAGGTAGAGATGGTTGGGATTTGAAAGATCCTCCAATGAGAGCAATGGTTGATAAGTCAAAGGCAATAGGTTTGAAGGAAATAGAGAGAAAAATGAGGCTGTATGCAACACCAGGTGAGTTTGCTAGTGACATGAGGCTTGTGTTCTCTAATGCAATGCTAATGTATCCTCCAAGGCATCATATTTACCAAATTGCCAAAAAGTTCAGTGACAATTTTGAACATAAATGGAAGTCGTTGAAGGCTACTTGGAAGCTTGAGGATAGAAAAAGAAGAAGGCTCACTAACATGTTGTGATTCTTTATTCTTCATTTGTAATAAAATATGTGAACATATATTCTGTTATCAATTCATTTTATTAGTTTTCAATTCTGTCAGAGTTATTGTCAATGTGTTAACAATATATGCATTGAATGAAGGATTTATAATTAAATCATAGATATACAATTTTTGTTTAGACCATCTCTGTGAATATGAAACCTTACTGTTTGTTTTAGACTGATGGAAAGTTTTGTGCATCTTGATTTATTCAATAAAAATATGAACAACTTTTTGCTAATATATCACTTTATTAGTTATGTTTAGTAATATTACTCAACCTCACATAAATTCTTGCTAAAGTTTTTAATGTACATTCATCTTTTAACTAGGTTTTAAAATTTGTATGCACTCGTGATATAGAACTGAATACCAACAACATTTTTATGTACATATGACCATAATTAAAGTTGAGAATAAGTAGGTTTGTCCGTTCTTCATAATCTCATATTTCAAATAATTTAGATTGATTCGACTATAATTATTAATGAATTGTAAAATATTTATTTGATTCTAATCGATCTACATTAGTTTATAATTAGAGTTTACCGCAATCCTTAACAAAATAATAAATTACTTAAATTTTTGTTTAAAAATTAAAAAATTTATAATAAATTAAAAAATTTTGTGAAATATTTCATCATCTGGAGCAACACGTCGGATAAGATGTCCTACATTGAGTCATTTGACATCATGACTAGTTTGGGTTGGGCTGTTGGATCAGTTTTAGATTTAACAGATGGAGAATATCCTGGAATATTATGTTATCCTATGTGGCACTGATTTTAAGGTCTGGAAGATTCAAGTTGAAATCAAGAAGAATATTGACTTTCTAATTTTGGAGATAAATTAGGAAAGTCATGAATGAAGACCTATCTTTATGCAGAAGTTTCTACAAATTTGTAGCAGCTGTCATGCTATGATTTGAAGCCCAAAGTCCAGTTAGGAAAAAGGTTATAAATAGAAGGTTATTAACTTAGAAAATGTACCAGTCGAAAATAAGAAGTGTAGATTATTAAGGCTGAGTCTGTAAGCCACTCTCTAGGAGAGTTGGTATGTGTGAGCCTCTCGAATATCATGGTGGTACGAGAGTAGGACTAATGTTATAGAGTTATAATTATTTGTTGTTCATTCTTAATATTTTAAGCATAGAATGTATATTATTCTTGGATGAAGCTTTGAATCAAATCCAAGTGTGTTTGTTAGTCAAGGGTCTTGACTGAAATTTATGGTTGTTAGATATCACTGAGGTGATTTAGGATATGAGATGGTGATTTCTCATATTTAGGATGTTCCTAAGTAAAAGGGTCATTGGGTAGGGATTAGGTGAGAAGTTATAAACGGGAGAGTTTAACTTTGAACTAATACTATTGATAATGGATTTTCTTCTTGGCTTGGTAGCTACCAGAGTAGGAGTGTCTCCACCAAACTGGGTCATCATATCTTTGTGTTTTTATCATTCTGCATTATTCAGTTTTGTTTCTTGATTGATTAACATGTCATAATAGATGTTGGAACACCTGTTACGACTTTGAACTGATAAGATTTATATCAGTATGTTGTATTCTGTCCATGTGATGTAGAGATCTTTGTCTCAACATGTGTTAGGTCATTGTTATCTGTATACCAGAATTTCAATTGGTATTAGAGCAAGTATCCTGTTCTATTCTGGATGAGATCAGGGAAGATGATTTCTGGTACTTTGAACAAGAAAGGATTAAAGCGTTTTGGGAGCTACTGATGTGTTTGTGGTGTTATTTATGAGGCGTTTTCCTGCATGTGCCTCTGTTGTGTAAACCTGGGGTGTTCAGGTTTGACTTGTCTTATGGAGTTTTGGCTTTCCTTGGAAGAGCCGGATGTATACCTGATGGCTTCTATTAATGATATCTCTTATGTATGTTGTCCTATGATATGTTCTCGACATCCTACCCAGAGTCTGAGAAGTGATGAGGATTCTAGAAAGATGGTGTATTTGTTCTCTAAAAGTACAAGATCAGCAAGGAGGGAGCTATAAGGATGAGAGTGTTTTGATTCTCTCACACTCTAATTTGTGTATGATGTTTTACCAAATGTTATGACATTGTACCTACCGTGTGAACTTGGTCAATTCATGTTGTTGTTTGGAAGCAGGAGTGAGGGTTACCCATGACAACTTGATTGATGGTTCTCTCTGAAGATATCGTCAATGGTACTATAGTAGTGAGTTGTTGTGTCCTTTGGGTTGTGTGTTTGATTTATTTTCAAACCGAGGCTGGTCTAGTGTCACTAAGTCTTGTCTGAAGGATGTTGAGGAGTTGTTGTATCCTCTTTGATTTGCTTGTACAATGAGTTTCAATTCTCAGAAAATACTCAGTTGAGTTTAATTAAGCAATTGTTTGACATCGGTGTCAAATTTAAGTGATTTTGTTTCGGTTTTTGGTGCACGTTCATGTATCACGATGTTACTGCCCCATGTTGGTAAACACATGTAAAGTTGATTTAATTTTTGTTTGTTTCATATTTCAGCTTGTTAGCATGATTGCTTAACACTAATATCAAGTTCCATTGATTTTAAACCAAATTTTCGTGCATTTTGTAACGCCCGTTGATTTAATTAAGTATTTTCGATTTATTGCGAATTATTCGTTGAAATTATTGACATGTTGTGTTATGTCGTGAGTTGTTGACATAGGATATGGTGTTGTTATTAGTCGGTTAAATTAGTTGATTAATAATATTAGTAATAATATTAGAATTGTAGAATATTAACAATATTAGTTGTTGGGCTTGTTTTGGTGATAGACGTAGTATTAAGGAGGTGTGAAAATTAGGCTCAATAGAAATAATATTATTATTTGGTTAAGTTGAATAATAGAAATTAGGTTAATTAAAAAGGGTTAAGAGAAAGAGTATAGAAAGTGTTGTACGTGAGAATTTAGAGAAGAGGAAAAGGAAAAGAGGCAAAGTTAGGTTCGATCGGAAATTGTAGAGAGGCATTTAATCCAAGGTAAGGGTGGGGTTCTAACTCTATAATTGGGTATATGATTGATATTATATGAGGATTGGGTTATATGGGATTGCTACTGTGTATGAATGTTGCCGAGAAAAATTGTCGAATCATCGTCTATTTTCATGTTATTAATTGTGTAAAATTGTCGTCTCTGTAAAATCATTGTTTCGGTGAAAATTGATGTTGTTATATATATATACATATATATATATATATATATATATATATATATATATATATATATATATATATATATATATATATATATATATATATATATATATATATATATATATATATATATATATATATATATATATATATATATATATATATATATATATATATATATATATATATTGTTCTGTTATGAGACCAGTAATTGGAAAAGAATTATTCGAGGCTCTGTTGAAACTACTTGAAAAGCGAAAAAAGCAAAGTGTGCCGAAGGACACAGGGCGTGCCGAAGGGCACACTATGAAAAAGTGTGACAAGGGGAAGGGAAAGGGTGCCGACCCGGCACCATATGAAGTGGTGGGTGTGCCGAGTGGCATAACCCTTGTGCCGAGGGGCACATAGCGTGCCGAGGGGCACGTAGTGTGCCGAGGGGCATACACCCTTAAACCTCCAAGTTCTTTTATTTGTTGTCTGTTCTTGTGTTTTCTACTTTATTATTTAGTCACTAATTGTTATTACAGAAGCAATGGATTATAGGTAGAAGAGATTGAGTACATATTAGCAGTAATTGCATGATTAGCAGTAACTGCATAGTAGCATAAGACAAAAGTATTGAATCATAACAGAGTAAATGCTAGCAGAAGGTAATTTAGCAGAGAACATAATGATAATTGTTAGTAGCAGTAATGTATGGAAAGTAACATTCGTAGATATTTAGCATAAGGACCTCAATAATAGTAGGACGGTAATAGCAGGAAATAATAGAAAAGCTATGATAAATTAAAATAGCAATAGAGGTAAATTAGTGTCAGAAATTAATAGCTTCATTGATTATGTAAGTGTTTGTTGGCAGCAATTTTGGTAAAACAATGACTTGTTAATAAATTGCTAAATGTCTTAACATTTGAAGCAAAACTGTTTTGAATGATGTCAAAGCAGATGACTTGACATCTAACTACTGAACTGATCTCAGCCCAAAATAAGTTAAGTCTTTTGTTTCCTGTTTTCATTTGTGGCATAATTCAGGATTTGTGATCTACAGGCTGCGAAAAATATGGAGGAATATTTTTCAAATTGCATAATTCCGTACCCCAAATTTGCCCCACCCTTACGATCATAATTTCAAGATAGAAGAAACATTTATTTTAGGATGGCACAACAGTATCTGATGGTCCATCTTTATCCAAGACTAGGGGGTGTATTTTAAATTCAGGAAAGCGTGGATTTCTAAATCAGAAGGACTCGTATATCCGTGAACCCATTCGCGTGGTATGTTGGCCAATGGCCCACGCGATTCGAAAATATAAGGTTATTTCAGAATAATAACTACTAAATAGTTGTTATTATTGAAAATAAAATTGCTATTAAATAATAATTGAATTTATTAAAGAAACTTAGGTGTTGCTTTGTTATTAGTAAAAAGGGTTGGGGTAATTTACTTAGTCTGCCCATTTGTCCTTTTTGTTATCTGTTGTTTCATTTTAAAGAAAAATATTAGTTTTACTGATTCTTAAATGAAATTTTCTATTTTAAAATGGAGGAGGCGCGAGTATAAATTACAAGCCCATTAAAATTCATGAGGCTCATTTCAATTTTTAATAAGAAATGATTTGGAGATAGCAGGCCCATTAAGGTTTTTTAGCCAGCCCTTGTGACGTTTTTACTGTTATTATTAAAACATTTTTGTTTTATTAAATATTTGTTTTTTTAGAAGCACTTAGTTAAAACATTTGAAGGCCTGATTTATAAAACAAAGGGGCCCAATATCGGGCCCAGACTAGCTTAAAAAATGCGTTATGTAAAAAAAGAAGGG